ACTAAAGCCATTTAAAAGTATGGCTACAAGCTGCCTGTCATATAAACTTAAAACATGAGAAAATGTAGCAGCTTAATGAAACTTGCTATATAATAAATTGAATAAAGCTTACCATAATATTTGGCAAAATAAAAAGATGAAACAAAACTTCCACAGGTAGGATGTATTGATAAGAAATCTGCTGAGTAAGCAGTATGGGACGTAGCATCAATGTGCGCGTGTACAGTACCACAAGGCAGGACGGATTGATGGGAAGCACAGATAGAACACCAAATCTGTGGAAACCTGATTACTTTGGAGTACAGTGAAGTAATCACTTTGGAAATTAAAGGTGCAATGCTACTTGACACACTAGTGACTATTGCAATGCAGCCAATCCAGAAGTGACAGTCATTTTTATTAGCACTGACTGGCTGAAACCCATGAAGAAGTGCCTGAAGCAGTGCAGTTGATGGATAAGGCACTTGAATAGGGGGAAGAGGCACCTTAAGAGGAGATATAACTCCTTTGCTTTGGAGTCATATCTGGAGTCATTGATGAAAAGCATTTGCTCAGTTGAGCTATTTGTGGGCAACAGTGATCCTGGTCCCTAACCATTGAAAATACCAGAGATCCCATGTATTTATGCACCAAGAGCAGGGGGAGCCATTAAATAAATAAGACCCTATAGGTCTTCATTTACTTTTGTATAAGTCAGTCAAATAGTTTTTCAGTAGAGGCCATTACATCTCATAGGCATGTGGTGTAGCTCATGTATATGTAATCATTGATATGATTGTTTTCTGATAACCTGTCCACGACACATGCAGATATCTGAACTCTAAAGAAAGAACATGCAGTGGGCCAAGAAGACTGACAAGCAAAATGTTAGAATTATTACCAAAACACAAATTCAGGAGTTTGGTTTTTTTATGAAGTACCTGTGTATGTTTGTTGAAATGCTTGGATGCCCAGTTTTCAATGTCAGTCTCAGAGGAGGGCTTTCTCAAGCTAAATTCTGTGAATATGCCACAGCTTGCACTTGGCATCATATTCCTGGCATTTCGACAGGCTTCAAACTGGGCACAGGCTCCAAGATCCTCCGACTGTTGGGAACAAAAGACAAAGACATAAAGCATCGACCCTTAATACAGAGCTGCTGCAGCAAAATAAAGTTTGTTTATTAGACAAAGACAACTTTAATGTAAATACACATATTATAACGCAAAACAGAAGACAGGAGTCTTAATTATGTTCGACAAAAAGTGATAGGAAATTAAAGGAGCAGATACAATAACTACAATATCCCTACAGCTCTATAAACGGTAAACAATCAACAATTCTGGGCAGATATGATCACTTTAATCTGGACCACAGAACAGAAACAATGAAAATATGTATTACTTTACCACTTCTAATCTTTTAAAAAATGTTGGCAGCATTTGTTTCTCTCTGCGGAGGTAAGGAAGCAATGAAATTGGAAGTCAGCTCTTTTTTAACTAAATATTTCCACAAAAGTTGACTCGTTTTATCAAAACTCTGTAAAATAGTGTTATTTACTGTGAGACCAGTGAGAAATGTTTGACATTATGAATCTTTAACTCTAGGATCCATCAAAAGAGTCCTAACTCCCTTCCAGGACTGTTTTCTGGGTAGATTTCCACCCACTTTTTCTGATCTGGCCCTGGTTTCTGTGACGAAACACAGGGGGGGACAGAAACTTCCCCAAAATCTACCCCCTTAGTGGAAAGGTTTCTGAAGTGGAAACAGACAATACCCTCAACCTGACTTCAAAGCATACACAAAACAGAAAATAACAGTGAATAAAGACAAATATGAGATGTGATGAAGGCATCCAGTTTCTGCACCAACTGTGATCATTGGTGGTGATCTTTGCTCTCTAAAATTTGAGAAGTGTATAAAACTTGTTGCGTCATTAAAAGCAATAACTGATAACTTATCATCCTCATCATAAATAAGTATCAAGTCAAAAAGCTTTAACTGAAATGAAATTATTGCTAGTATTTTTTATAACTTTCAAGAGAGACCAGTTCGTGAAAGAGACCAAAAGTTTTCTTCTACTAATATGATAACACTGATGGCTTGAAGCTCATGAAGCTCAACTTGCTTTCAAAATGGAAAAACACTCTAAAATACTTCCTCTAAACTAATATTAACCTACTTCTTCCTGCTTCAGAGTTGTAGTTGACCAAGAGTCTTTAGGTATAATTTACTACTTGTTTGTTTCCACTGCAAGTCTTTTAAAATCAACAATGTTCAACCAAATAAAAAACACGAAGGTTCATCAGAATGTTATACGTGTCCTAAAGTTTTTGAGCTAATGCAAAAATAAAATTCAAACAAACAAACAAAAAAAATCAACAGTAGTATTTCTCCATTCTCCTAACAGTGAAAGCAGCTGTACCTGGGAAGGGTGGAGGTATGGCTCAGGGGAAGCCAGGTTGGTCTGGACAGAGAGGCTTTTCTCCAGTAGTGCCTGAGAGAACCCCAAACGGTCAAAGGTAGTGCGTTTCCAGTGGTGGCCATCGCCCTGGGCTAGTGCCTCATCCTCACTGAATGCCCTTACCACAGGCCCTGGTAGTGGCAGAGGTACTGCTCCATCACTTTCATATCCGTCTTTGGAGCCACTGCAATGGGTTACTCCTCCTCCCTGACCAGAGTCCCAACTGCTCCTCTGTTTCATGACCTGCTGGGCTTCCCATGCCAGCCTGGCCTGGGCCAGCATGACCTCTGATCCTGTGCCTGGAAGCTCCTCTTTCCCACAGCGTCCCAGCTCCTGGGGGAGGGATGGCTTGCGGCTCTTGCGTTTACGATTGGCACTTGGGGAGAAACCACCAGGCCCAGCTGTAGAGGAGGAGGAGGACAGTGAGTGAGTCTGACTAGATGTCCAGGAAATGGAGTCTTCAAAGATAAACCTTTGAGATCCTTCTCCTCCCTCTCCACGATAGTCCAAAAGTTGGCGGGGATCTCTAATCAGAGACTGGCTATGCTGCAGAGTATAGGACCCTCCAAATGATCCACCAAAGCCTCCATTAGTACCGTAACGCTGTAGACGGTCAGCAGTCTTGAAGCGTGGACTGGAAGATGACTGTTCCACGTACACCAGCTGCTTGACATATTCCTTTCCTACAGGACTGTACTCCAGGCTCTGAGCTTTTTCTGGACATTTTTGCCTCGTCAGAACCAGTTGACCATAGGACGACTGACTCTGCTTGGGGGAGTGGTAGAAGGGAGCTGGAGACTTCCGGGATGGTGATTTGTTTGTACCATAACGGGAAGATGAGTCTGAGAGGTTCATGTCAATAGGTGGCTCTTCATAGATGGGTGGTGGCTTAAAATCAGATGGAGGTTCCTCATACAGGGGGGGCTCAAAGGCATAGCGGGGTGATGGAGGCTGGGACTCAGTGGAGGGGCGGCGGTGGGTTCCACTGCTGCCTAGCTCGGCCCGCTTCAGATATGGAGACTGACGACGGTCAGAGTAGAGAACAGGTGAGCCATTTGGTTCTGCGGGGGGGTTTCCTCCAGATGAATGGCGATTTCGCAAGGTGTTGCCTCCTCCAGGGGTTGGGGATTCACAGAGTGAGTAGCCATTTCCTTGATGAGTCAAAAAGCTGGGCTCCCTGTCTGTCACCTTGATGAGCATCCGCTCCTTTGTACCAGTATTCCAGCGGAAAGAAGAAGTCCTGAATAGATATGGAAAAAAGCAGTTATACATTACAATTCAGTTCAAGAAAGTCCTAATGTCAGTACTTATAAAGCCTTTTACAATAATCAGTCTAAGTAAAAGGATGAGTAATATTAACCCTTGTGCGTGCGAGGACTGAGGCAAATGATACAAGTGATATGGGTGTGTCAGTTGGACCCCATTTGCAAATACAAGGGGTAAGCAAACCAAGGGCAAAAACATATTCTGTAAAACTGCAAGAACACAGAAGTTAGAATCAAAATTGTAAGCGCTGCATAAATTTATAGCAGCAGATAATGTGACTGTGTTTCCAGTGTGATTTACCAAGATCCTTTTCAAAAAATGTCCTCCCCTCTTAAAAGGAAAGGAGTTCTAATGTGTTCTCAATTTCTACAGTGTAGACCTTCAATGTAGCTTCTAAGTAGACTTGCCAACAATTCTGCCTCTTCTAAATCCTTGAGGAAAACTGGTTAAAAAGTTAAGTCCAAGTTAAGTCCATTCTTTATCAGCCCATTTGCACTGCAAGGCCGGGGCAGGATTTTCTGCATTAGCGCTTTGAACCTGGTCCCACCCTGTCCTCTGGAGTCCCAAGGGCTCTGGATACAAAAGTGTGGATGAATGTGACACCTGACAACAGGCATGTGGAAACTGGGCCAAAATTAACCAGAGTGGTGGGGACCCAAGATCCTCTTGCTATTTTTGTAAGGCTGCAAAATACTTGCAATATTCATATTGCTAAGGAATGTTTGGAGTCTATTCACTGCTTCAGGAATTGGACAACTTGATAGAATTATGAATTATGGTCTGGGACATCAATTTCTGACCTTAAGGTTAAGTTAATTTGGGTTACACAACAGAACAATGATACAAAGCACACCAGGGAGTTGTCTTGCTGGTTGCAATAGGATGGAAGCTGGCTGTGCCGGTGCTCCAACTGACACTGTGACATTAAAAGGTCAGTAAAGCCCCCTTTTCTGCAGCAGTGACACAACAAACCTGTCACTTGATACATACTTAGAGATGTGCTAAAGCTTCTTTGAAATGTTATCTTGGCCACTGTAGAGAGTTTAAGGTCCAGCCATGAGAAGAACAAAGTGGGCTGACCTACAAACAGAGAATCCCTGCCATCTTGGTAGTCATCACTCCAAACATTGTAATGTCACTGTAATGGCTGGTTAACTAAACATGAAGAATCAATTGTCCAAAAGGTTTTTGAATTATAATTCAGCCAATATATTGTTTCATTTCCCCTTCTATTTTGTGATCAGGTTGTCTGAACACATTCAAGTTGTTCTTAAGTGAATCTTAAGGTTCCTAAAACATCTATATTCACAATTTGTCATGATCCGTGTTTCTGTGTTTAGTTTTGAGTTTTTCTGTGTGATTCTGTTTCCCTGTGAGTCTCTGTCCTGTCCTCCCCGTTGGTTGTCTCCCAGGTGTGTCTCATTCCCTTGATTACCCCGTGTGTATTTAGTCTCACCTGTTGTCTGTGTTCTTCGTCGGGTCCTTGTCTTACGTTTGTCTTAGTTTGTCTAATGTCTGTTCGTCTGCCGGCACAGTTGAACTGCGAAGTCCTGTGTCGGCAGTAGCTCATCGTGTCAGTCCTTATTATCAGTTGCTACCGGTATTTAGCTGAGTGCTAACTTCTCTGCCGTGCTGCCTGTTTGCGGACTATAGAGCATCTTCGTCATTAAACTCATCTTCATTTTCACCATAACCTGGGTCTGTCTGCGTCCTCATCCGCACCTCATCCACACCAATCGTGACACAATTGTGATATCTCTGCATCATTCAATTGGTTATTGGCTTTCAGTAATGCCGGTAGCTATATAGCTGTATGCACTGTGTGCACGTAGAGATTTTCCTTTAAGTAAAAAAATGTAATTTGATTTTTTATTATCTGACCTCTCTACTATAAACCAAATTGGGCAGAAAGAAAATTATTTTGTGTCAAAAAATCTTGTACGCAGCCCACATCTGTATGCATCTGTGGGGGTGGACACATGTAGGTCCTAAACCTAAATCTTATTAGCTCTGAAGAGCTAACTTCCCGTAACTTAAATATGACTATGCAGTGAAGCTAGCGAAAAGTGAATAAGCAGTTTTAAGAGGGGCCAAGCTCAGGGATCACAAAAACCCCTGAACTTTTTATTGTGTGTGTGGTTCTATTGGAGTTGCCGGTTTAACAACTTTTTTTTCGTGAACTGAAGAGCTAACTGGTCATCCGGTTGACTGACCATGACATCTACCACGCTCTTCTTGAGTGTCGTGCTAAAACTGCGGGAAGGTTAAGCAGTTAAATCTAGTCTAAACTTTGCCAAGTATTAATTTAACATTGTTGCTGCACCTTCCCCTCCTCTGGAAGTCTCAGACACACCACCTGAACCTGGGAATCTCTATCCCCCACGTCCCGTGGATAAACACCGGTAGGCTGTGCTTTCCTGTTTTCATTATTTAGTATAATTGGTTAAAAAGAAAAAGAAAAAGAATTAAAAAAAGCCCGTTGAATCCTCACATTATGTGCATGTGGCTTGTATTTGTGTGGTTTAGGTTTGTGATGGTTTTGTGCAGCACACACTTTTGGGAACTGGAGTTTTGGCCTTGTGAGGGTTATTTTCTGTTTGCTGCTTTCTCTTAGTCATCCACCAGATGGAGCCAGGAGGCTCCTATCACCTGGACGGCGGTCCAGGTGTCTGGACTCCATGCACCTGCAAGCAATTCTGCCTCATCAGCTTGGAGTACAGGATACAGGAGAAGTGGGTTGCCAGCACTTCAGCGCCTGAGTGTTTGCCTGTTGTGGTACTCTCAGCTCCCCTGAGCTTCACCGCTGAGTTTTTATTTCTATATGAACTTACCTTTGGCCTCCTCGCAGGTTTCCCTCGTGGCGCCTTGGAAGATACCTATTGTGTTGCCCGAGTTCTTCACCAAAGAACTCTCCAAGAAGATTCTCCAGTGTTCTCAGTCCATGACTGGGGAAGATCCGCTCCTCTTTCCATGGTCTGTTCTGTTACCTGTCCACCCTCCTACACCTTCCCACAGCCTCCAGTAATCTCTTCCACTTCTCTTTTCATCTGTAACCAAACCAGACCGCTACTTCCCCCACAAGCAATCCAAACTCCAGTGACCTAACCTCTACCCCTGGTGGATTAACCACAACCTTAAGCTTCATCCAGTTTTCATCTCTGTCTTGGTACAGCCATTTTACAAAAACACTGTTCTGATCATCAGTGTTCTGCCTCTGGAACACTGACAATCCCGATCAACTGGTTCCAGGACAAGAATCACACCCTTCATTTAATCATTCGTACGTATAGTACAGTGCTGTATGTACAGTGCTGTACTGTAAATCCAACAGGCCCTGTGACCTTGTTGGATTTCGTTTTATATTTTTTTCTCTTTTGTAGCTTGATAGCTTATCCATTCTTTACAGTTCTACAGTTTTAATTTTACTAGGCCATCTAACAATTGGCTGACTTAAAGTACATATTTAAGGCTCTTTTAAATACGGTCAGCAGTCTTGAAGCTGCTGACTGCAGCCCAACAGCTGTGGTTTGATTGCTGAGGCCACAGAGTTGTTTTTTTTTATTTTTATTTTATATATATATATATATATATATATATATATATATATATATATATATATATATATATATATATATTTTTTTTTTTTTTTTATAAAAAATTTT